AACAGGACCTTCTCCAAGCATCTGAAATTTCTGGCAGGTTTATATGAGAGAGGAAGTGGTCTTTAGATAGATCATTTAGGGCTTTATAGGTCAACGCCAGCATCTTGAAAACTGTCCCTGTTTCTTGCTTACCTTAAAGATGCCAGACAATGCACACAATCAAATTTCAATAATTTTGAATCAATTTAAAAAGACAATTTAAAATAATCTTGATTCCCCTTTATTCCTTCTTTCTACAGAATGGCACCCATCTATATCATAGGTTTACACTACCCTCTCCTGGCCAGTTTACATATTACAGTTTGTGACTAGTGCATATTGAAGTTAATCTTTGGCATCTGCTAAGTTCCAGTGTGCTGTGTATTGTCGAAGGCTTTCATGGCCGGAATCACTGGGTTGTTGTAGGTTTTTTTTATATATATGGCCATGTTCTGGAGGCATTCTTTCCAGACGTTTCGCCTGCATCTATGGCAAGCATCCTCAGAGGCAGTGAGGTCTGTTGGAACTAGGAAAATGGGTTTATATATCTGTGGAAAGACCAGGGTGGGACAAGGAACTCTTGTCTGCTGGAGCTAGGTGTGAATGTTTCAACTGACCACCTTGATTAGCATTTGATAGCTTGGCAGTGCCTGGAGCAATCTTTTGTTGAGAGGTAATTAGATGTCCCTGATTGTTTTCCCTCTGCTGTTTTAATTTTATAGTAAATGGGACATTGTTGTTGTTGTTCATTCGTTCAGTCATCTCCGACTCTTCGTGACCTCATGGACCAGTCCACACCAGAGCTCCCTGTTGGCCGTCACCACCCCCAGCTCCTTCAAGGTCAGTCCAGTCACTTCAAGGATGCCATCCATCCATCTTGTCCTTGGTCGGCCCCTCTTCCTTTTGCCTTCCACTTTCCCCAGCATAATTGTCTTCTCTAGGCTTTGCTGTCTCCTCATGATGTGGCCAAAGTACTTCAACTTTGTCTCTAGTATCCTTCCCTCCAATGAGCAGTCGGGCTTTATTTCCTGGAGGATGGACTGGTTGGATCTTCTCGCAGTCCAAGGCACTCTCAGCACTTTCCTCCAGCACCACAGCTGGGACATAACACATTCAATTCAAAGACAGAGAGAAAACAGGAATACTGTTGGTAACACTACTTCTCTGCAATATTGCATCCAAAAAGTGCTGCCCACAGTACATCCTCCTGAAGACCGAACTGTGTGTTGTGTTCATTTATTTGACATCAGCATGCCCTCCACTGTTTTCAGATAAAATACTATGTGTTATAATTTTGAGAAATACTAGAAAACAGCATTGCCTAATAATGCATCAAAAGTTCTCAGCCTTTTTTTCCTGGAAGAACCCCTGAAATAATTTTCAGGTCTCAGAGACCCCTGTATAAAAATTATATCTGCAGCTTAGAGTTTCTCCTTCATTTACCTTTTTAAGTCATGAACTCTTGTGGAACCTCTATCAAGCCCTCATGGAACTGTGGGGCTCCAGGGAAACCTGACTGAGAAATTCTGGTTTAAAATATGCTTATTTATATTTATCATATCACAAGTGAACTGAGGGTACAGTTGTACTGTATTTAAAAAACACAAAGTTTAAAAAACTTGCCATTATACTAAATGTCCTTTGACCAGTAGCTGGCCACTTGGAGTGCCTCTGGTGTTGATGTGAGAAGGTCCTCCATTGTGCGTGTGGCAGGGCTCAGGCTGCATTGTAATAGGTGATCTGTGATTTGCTCTTCTCCACACTCGCATGTTGTGGACTCCACTTTGTGACCCCATTTCTTATGGTTGGCTCTGCATCTTGTGGTGCCAGAGCGCAGTCTGTTCAGTGCCTTTCAAGTCGCCCAGTTTTCTGTGTGCCTAGGGATTATTATGGTCTTTGCCTGATTACAAGATGGCTATGACTCTCGCTTTCCTCCAGATTTTGGGGATCTGACAGGGTGCAATGCAGCCGTTGAGCAGCTTCAGCAGCCAGCACCTTGCTTTTGAACCAACGTTCTTAATTTGATCCATCCGTAGATCATCCAGGCCAGCTACCTTTCCTATTTTACATTTATTGAGGGCCATGTCCAATTCAGTAGATGTAAAACGTTCATGAAGGTTGTTGTTCTCATTATCTGGTTGTCTGACTATTGGTTTCCTTCTTACTTTGGTAGCAAGGTTGGGTTTCCCATTCTTCAGAAGTTGATGGGCTATCTGATGTGCCTTTATGCTGGCATGGATATTAGTTTGTAAGGGATTATTGCTCCCCCTCCACACCTCCGTGCCTTCTGGCTGCTCCTGCCCATTGTTCTTAGCAGCCTCCACACCTTCTGGCTGCTCCTGTCCATGTTGACTTCTGTTATCAGCTTTATCCACTGTTCTTTCTTGGCTTCAGAGATGGAGGACAGAATGCTTTGCGCTGCCTGAAGGTTTGCTCACTAAATGGGTCTTCATTGTGGAGCCTGTAATAGTTAAAATATGTTTCTATATTTGTAGTGTGTGGTTGACATGCACAGCAAAATAGCTAGCCTAGCAGGGTAACCTTAACAGTGAAGCTATTGCTTCATCTGTACTTTTTGAACTACTTAACGGCTAAGAGCAACAATTACCCTGCAATTGTGCATAAGGAACTACTAATGCAGTTTTGCCTATTGGCTAGAATTGCTTTTCTTTTCTGGAATCCAGCAGCAGATGACTCAGGGAGCAGTACTGTTTTGTATGTCTGTTGCTGTGTGCCTTCAAATCATCTTTGACTAATAAGACCTCAAAGGCCAATCTATTTCTTCAGTGGCAGGCTACCCTTCCCTCCCTCTGAGGCTGAGAGAGAGTGACTTGCCCAAGATCATTCACTGAGTTTCCACGGCTAAGTGAGGAATCAAACCCTTGTCTCCAGTCATACATGATCCAATGCTCAGAATTCACACTGGCTTTCTCTATATGTTCACAAATGTAACATTGACTCCAGACCTAGAATTAGCTTCAAGCATAATTCTGTACAGAAGCCATTCTAGATGTTTTACACCAAAGGTCCCCAAACTAAGCCCAGCAGGCCAGATGTGGCCCACCAAGGTAATTTATCCATCCCTGCCCTAAATTTTAAGTTTAGTCGCCCTCAGTCTGGGGCCGCTTCTACATGCCAGATAAAATCCAAATTATCTGCTTTGAACTGGATTATATTTATTTATTTATATCCCACTTTTCTCCCATGAGTGGGACTCGCAAAGCGGCGATTATATGGCAGTGTAGGCTCATATAATCCAGTTCAAAGTCAATAATCTGATATAATCCAGTTCAAAGCCAATAATCTGGATTTTTTAAAAATCTGGCTGCATAGATGGGGCCTGAAACAACTTGAAGGCACAGAACAACAGTAATCCTAATGATCTTGACTATTTCAGCAGCCAAAAGCAGGCCAATACTTCCTATTGAAATACAGGTACGTTTATATTGGTTGAAATTGTTCTTCATTTTAAGTACTGTATTGTTCTACAATAAGGTGTGTGCAGTGTCCATAGAAATTTGTTTATGGGTTGCTGTGAGTTTTCCGGGCTGTTTGGCCATGTTCCAGAGGCATTCTCTGCGGATGTTTTGCCCATATCTATGACAGACATCCTTGGAGGCTGAGGGTCTGTTGGAAGCTAGGCAAGTGGGGTTTATATATCCGTGGAATGTCCAGGGTGGGAGAAATAACTCTTGTCATCTTGAGACAAGTGTGAATGTTGTAATTGGTCACATTGATTAGCATTTAATGGCCTTGCAGCTTCAAAGCTTGGCTGGTTGTTGCCTGGGGTATCCTTTGTTGGGAGATGTTAGCTGGCCTGGATTGATTCTTGTCTGGAATTCCTGTTTTGATGTTCCTCTTTATTTACTGTTCTGATTTTAGAGGTTTTTTTAATACTGGTAGCCAGATTTTGTTCATTTTCATGGTTGCTTCCATTTTGTTGAAATTGTCCACATGCTTGTGGATTTTAAGGCCATTAGATGTAACCAAGGTGGCCAATTGCAACATTCACACTTGCCTCCAACGGACAGTTCTTTCTCCCAACCTGTTGTTGTTGTTCATTTGTTCAGTCATCTCCGACTCTTCGTGACCTCATGGACCAGTCCACGCCAGAGCTCCCTGTCGGCCGTCACCACCCCCAGCTCCTTCAAGGTCAGTCCAGTCACTTCAAGGATGCCATCCATCCATCTTGCCCTTGGTCAGCCCCTCTTCCTTTTGCCTTCCACTTTCCCCAGCATAATTGTCTTCTCTAGGCTTTGCTGTCTCCTCATGATGTGGCCAAAGTACTTCATCTTTGTCTCTAATGTCCTTCCCTCCAGTGAGCAGCCGGGCTTTATTTCCTGGAGGATGGACTGGTCGGATCTTCTCGCAGTCCAAGGCACTCTCAGAACTTTCCTCCAGCACCACAGCTCAAAAGCATCGATCTTCCTTCGCTCAGCCTTCCCTAAGGTCCAGCTCTCACATCCGTAGGTGACTACAGGGAATACCATGGCTTTGACTAGGCGGATCTTTGTTGCCAGTGTGATGTCTCTGCTCTTTACTATTTTATCGAGATTGGACATGGCTCTCCTCCCAAGAAGTAAGCGTCCCAACCTAGACAATATATAAACCCCCACTTGCCTAGTTTCCAACAGACCTCACAACCCCTGAGGATGCTTGCCATAGATGTGGGTGAAACGTCAGGAGAGAATGCTTCTGGAACATGACCAGACAGCCCGGAAATCTCACAGCAACCTAGTGATTCCGCCCATGAAAGCCAGAAACAATTCGTTCATGGTTCTGTTTTTTGTTTTTCGATTCGCCAACAGTCTGAGGGAGTGAAGCGGCCCTCTGCTTTAGGAGTTGGAGGAGCAAGGCTTGAAAGCCACCCCTTGAAATGCAACCACTGCACTGGAATGGTGGCGCGTGGAGCGCCGATAGCACTGTCCGGGCTCACAAAGGAAGGGCCGCCTCCCTCCCCAGAGCAGCCGGGGCCTCGCTTTCCCAGCATGCAGCGGGGAGGAGTGACGCAAATGCGCCGCGACGGCCGCTTCCGCGCCGCCATCGCCGCCTCTTCCTCATCCTCCGCTGCGCCCAGGGCCCTTCGCCCTCTTTGCCGGGGATGGCGGAACCCGGCGGCGGCGGCGGCGGCGGCGGCGGCGGTGGTGGGGGCGCCTCGTCCTCGTCTTCCTCCTCGTCCTCCGCTACGGGCCTCGGAGGGGGAGGGGGAGGCGGGCCTGGGCCTGGCGCCGCGGACCCGGCCTCGCTGCCCCCGGGGGACGCCCAGCTCATCGCCCTCATCGTCGGGCAGCTCAAGAGCCGCGGCCTCTTCGACGCCTTCCGGAGGGACTGCCTCGCCGACGTCGACACCAAGGTCCGCCTCGGCCCCGCCAGCCCCCCTCCCTCCCTCTCTCCCTCTTCCTTCCTTTCTTTCTTTTCCCCTCTCTTTTTCTTTCATTCTTTTGTCCTCCCTCCCTTTCCTTTCTTCTCTTTCTCCTCGTCCCTCTTCCTCCCTTTCCTTCTTTCTCCCTTCTTCCTTTCTCTTCCTTTCCCCCTCCCTCCTCTCCCTTCCTTCTTTCTCTTCTCCCTCCTTCTCCTCCTCTTCTTTCTTCCCCTTTTCTTTCCTCCTTCCTTTTCCTCTTTCTCTCTCCCTTCCTTCTTTCTCCTCTCTCTCCCTCTTCCTCCTTCTTTCCTTTCCTTTCTTTCTCCCCTTCTTTCTTTCCTTCCTTCCCTTCCTTTCCCCCTCCTCTCTTCCTTCCTTCTTCCTCCATTCTCCTTCCCTCTTTCTCCTCCTTCTTTCTTTCTTTCTTTCTCTCCTTCTTTCCCCTCCCTCTCCCTTTCCTTCTTTCCTCCATTCTCCCTCTTTCTTTCTTTCTTTCTTTCTCCCCCTTTCTTTCTCTCTTTCGCTCTTTTCTTTTCCCTCCCTCTCTCCCCCCTTCCTTCTTTCCTCCATTCTCCCTCCCTCTCCCTCCTTCCTTTCTTCCTCCCACTTCTTTCTTTCCTACTCTCCTTCCTTTTCCCTTCCCTCTCTCTTCCTTCTTTCCTCCATTCTCCCTCCCTCTCCCTCCTTCCTTTCTTCCTCCCACTTCTTTATTTCCTACTCTCCTTCCTTTTCCCCTCCCTCTCTCTTTCCTTCCTTCATTCCTCCATTCTCCCTCCCTCTTCCTTCTTTCCTTCTGTCTTCTTCCTTTCCTTCTCCTTCTCTCCTTCCTTTTCCCTCCCCCTCTCTCCCCATCCTTCTTTGCTCCATTCTCTCTCCTTCTTCCTTCCTCCCATCCTTTCTCTTCCTTTCTTTCTCCCCCTTCCTTCTCTCCTTCTTTTCCCTCCCTCTCTCCCCTTCTTTCTTTCCTCCATCTCCCCCTCCCTTCTTCCCTCTTCCTTTCTTTTCCCCACTCCTTCCTTTCCTTCTCCTTCCTTCCTTTCCCCTCCCTTTCTCTCCCCTTCTTTCTTTCTTCTTTTCCTTTCATTCTCTTACTTTTTCCTCACTCCCTTTCCTCTTCCCTTTCTTTTCCCCACCCTCTCCTTTCCTCCCTTCCCCTTTCCTTCTTTCATTTCCTCTCCTTGTCTCTCTCCATTTTTCTTTTCTTACTTTTTCATAATTTGTTCTGCTTTTCTTTTTTCCACTCCCCTTCCCTCCTCTTTCTTTCTTTCTTTCTTTCTTTCTTTCTCTCCCCCTTCCTTCCCAGAGTCCTGAGCATGCCTTTTGCGGAGCCAGGTCTGAAGTGTCCCTTTGTGAAGAAAGGGCTTCCTCAGGCCTGGGCAAACTTGGGCTGTCCAGGTATTTTGGACTTCAGCTCCCACAATTCCTAACAGCCAGCTGGTAGGAATTGTGAGAGTTGAGGTCCAAACATCTGGATGGCCCAAGTTTGCCCAGTCCTGGATTTCCCCCATTGCATCAGCCCCTCCCTCCCTCACACTCCCCCTTGCACCTACTGCATACAATTGGGCTTGGGCTCCTGGAAAGGCTGGATCTTTGAGGTCAGTTCATTCAGGAGATCCAGGCCACACTTTGGGGGAAGGTCTTGGAAGATGAGTCATGACTTTGCCTGCCCTGGCTCAATACGATGGAATTATGGGGATTATGATTTAACAAGATATTCTGCCTTCTCTGGCCAAGAGTGCTGCTGCCCCACCAACTCCAGGGATCCCATAGCATAGAGCCATGGCAGCTAAAGTAGCGACAAACAGCATTAATTCTACAGTGTAGATGCATCCTCGGTTTTTAGGTTATCTGAACCTAAACTATTAACACTCTTCAAAGCACTTTCAGTGTGCCTGGAAACAACTGATATCTAAAGAGATGATTTTTTAATGTCAGGAGCAACTTGAGAAACTGCAAGTTGCTTCTGGTGTGAGAGAATTGGTCATCTGCAAGGACGTTGCCCAAGGGATGCCTGGATGTTTTGATGTTTTGCCATCCTTGTGGGGAGGCTTCTCTCATGCCCCCACATGGGGAGCTGGAGCTGACAGAGGGAGCTTATCTGCGCTCTCTTCGGATTTGAACCTTCAACCTGTCTGTCTTCAGTCCTGCTGGCACAAAGGTTTAACCCATTGCGCCACCGGGGGTTCAAGAGATGATTGAAATAAGGGAGACTGAAGTGGGTCATCTCAAAATCCATAATTTTGGCCAGAAAACCAAGGCAAGAGTTGTGCAGTGTGCCTAAATACCCTGGCACTGATCCCATCTGATCTTGGATGCTAAGCAGGGCCAGCTCTGATGAGAGGGTGCCAATGAATACCAGGTGCTGTGGGCTATAATTCAGGGGAAGGAGATGGTAAAACTGCATTAGAATATCCCTCGTCTAAGAATGCCTTGTAAAAACCATGGAATTGCCATAAATTGACAGTTTTAAAGCACATACACAGGAATTGTGTGACTTGCATCTTCATATGGCTCTTTAGGTGAGTCCATTCAGGAAAACAAACTTGGAGGCTGAAAATTGTCTCCAGGTTATTTGTTTTGACCCTGCCTGGATTGGAATACCTGTTTTTCCACATACAATGTTTCCTCACTTATTGCGGGGATTCCGTTCCAGGACTACCCACAATAAGTGAAAATCCGCAAAGTAGGGATGCCATATTAATTTTAATATTTATACATTATTTTATGTATTATTTTCTTACCCGCCTTCCAGCCCATCCCAAGAGCGCCTGCCTGCCTCCCTGGCCTCCGCAGACCCCTGCAGAGCCTCCGGAGCCATGGAGGCAGCAGCAGGCCAGGGAGACAGGCCTTCCTCGCCGCACTTCCAGGGTCTGTGAAGGCCAGGGAACAGACCTTCTCCGCCGTGCCTCAGGACATCATACTTCCGGGGTCCCTGGCCTCCACTGGGCGTAATATTATATATTTTTTATTAATATTTTCAAAAACCCACAAAACAGTGAGTTTGCTAAAAGTGAACCGCGAAGTAGCAGGGAAACACTGTATATGCATGAGCTATCTTGCAAGTCTGAAAATGGAATTCATTTAATCTTTCATATGCACCTAGCCTGAAGGTTCTTTTATGCATAGTATTTCCCATAAATTTGTGCATGAAACAAAGTTTATTGACATTTAACCATCAGAAAGCAAATTTTTCACAATTTCATACGGACTACCCCATATGAACAGGATTTTGATGTATTTTGGATTTCAGAATTTAAGATAAGGGGTGCTTAACCTGGACGTTAATTTCAGGATAGTCTGGAGAATCTCTGCCATCCAGTGCAACAATGAGACGGGTGGACCAGTGATGTGGACAGTTCATATTAGAAGCCTTCTGAATCAAATCTGGATTGATTTGTTCACCTTTGCATGATCTAATTGCAATATTAATAAATGACACCGTGATTCCCAAGGCAAATTCTTGTTGCATCTAGATAAGCTTTTTAAGAGCTTAATGTTTTTAGGAAAGCATTGCATCATTTCTTGAAAGTTCTCACAGTGGCTTTCTGTTTTCTCTGGAATCAAACATTGGTTCCTTATTCTTACCTTAGATGTCCTCATGGCCTTCTCTATTCTACATCTATATATATCCCATTCTGCGATATTTGTTTCTCTAGAACCCTGTTATCTAGTGTTTTTTTCTAATCCCTCAATATACAAAAGCAACACTTGATGCTTCACATGCCTGAAAGTATCTCCCAAAACATCTATGATTTTCTGTCCATCAACACTGTCCTCAAAGCTCAGCTCTTCCTGATCACTAGTGTCACATTCTGCAGTAATGGAGTCTGTAGCAAAGCCTAGTTGTACATAATTGAAGTAGTTGCATGTTGCCTCCTTGTGTATTCTGCCTCCAGTTCTCTCTTCCTGTAATAAAGTTTAGAATATAAGCTTCTTGGGGTATGAGGCAGACCTCTTATCTTTTCCTGATGGTGCTACACATAATGGATATGATTGATGTTTTTACAAGTTCAGTGTTGCAAGTACTATGTTTTCCCATACAGTTATTCCAGCTGTTAATATCTTTGCTAGTGACTATTTTAGTTTGTGTGTAACTTAAATATTTCAGTAGAACAATAGTAAACTCTCAAAAGATTCTTATAGCCAGTAATAAGCTAACATAACAGTTTTTCTTAGCATATCCGGTATAAGATTTTCCATTTACTTTTTTGCAACAACATTTGACATCCCATGTAACCACGAGCCATCATTTCCTAGTAAAAATATGAACGATAGAGCAGAAAAATGCATTTTATAGAGTTATCAAGGAAGGATTTCCCAAGAAACCCTTCAAGGTTGTATTAACTAGCCTATTTTGTTCAGCCAGCCTACCAGAATTTGAGACAGAAAGTGGACAACTTTGTGTCTACCCACCTGGATAAGCAGGATTGGAATCCAGCAATGAACAAAAATCAGCTGCGGACTGGCCTCAGGCAGAGTGTGATTCAGTAAGTAAATGCTGCTTAAATAAAAGTGGCAGTAATGAATCATTTTTTGAATCCTTGAAAATACAATTTTAGCTTGGTGTGACACTTTTAAATTTAATGTGCTTTGTGTAAGAAGAATTCTGGGTAGATTATGCCCTTTACCTTTTGAAATGTTATTATCCCATTGCTAGTCAACTCAATTTCTGGGTATTCAGTTCTCTTCTGCAATTAAAATTGTGCAAGATAAAGTGGGAATAAGTTGGGTGGTCCATGCCCTTTGCCTACTGTCTCCAACTCTGAAAGCTATTCAGCAAAGTTCTCTTGTACTAATGTAGGCTCCTCACGTGAGCAGCTGTGAGTCTCCAGCAGATGCCTTTTCCTCACATCTCAACTTGCATGTCCAGTAATGAGGGATTCTGGGAGTTGTTGAGTGAAAACATCAATAGTGCCACTTAGCCCACTCATGCGTGAGAGTCATGGTCCCATATTTCATAAATAAAGCATTCATCCATCAACATGCAGCAGACGGTCATAAATGGGGAAATAATGGATCATGATAGTCAAGTATCTGGTACATCCTACATTCTCTCAGAACAATTGTGACATAAGATTGGGAGGGAGAGGAGGTTCTGCTCACATGGGATTAGATGTTTGCCAAAGTGGAATTTGTGGGCAAATGTCTAGGATGTACAAGCATTCACAGTTTGGGAAAGGGCATCTTACGGAACTGCAGTAGTTTAGCCCCATTTTTATCCACTTCCAATATAAGATGAAATAGCCTGTGCAGTTTAATATTATAAATTAGTTTTTTGTCCAGTAGAGTGCACTGGTAACCAGTTTTCTGAATTTGGCTCCTTCAGTTATTGCTGCCAATAATCCAGCTCAGTAATGCAGTATGTGTTTTCTATAAATAGGCAGAAATCACTCCCCATTTTTGAAAAAGGTCATGCTTGTTTATTTATTTTTATGTATTATATGAGATTAATTGCTTTGGTATATAAAAGGTAAGAACACGCCAGCCTCCCAACTCTGTAAATTAACTAATATGTAGCAGCAGAATCTAAAGTTTCTGGACATTTCTAATTTTATTAGTCCAAGAGCAACTAGAATTATCTTGGACCTGGAGATTCTAGAGAAACAGTGGTTTCCAATTCATAGTCATAAAGGCTCTAAGATTGCATTACCAATGAGTGCTTGAAGTTTGAATGTTTCTGTTGGTAAACCATGGAAAATAATGAAGAGCTGACAATGAGTTTAGAAAAACAACAGCTGTTGGAGTATGCCTAGAATAAAAAGGAGATCCTCTGACAATCCTGTGGCCTGAAGTGGCTTCTGGAGATTTGTCCTCTAGGCTGTGGAGGTCTCTAGGCAAGCCCCACTCCAAATGTCCCAGATCCCAGTGTGCAAGGCTCCTTCGGTCAGGGTGTGACTCCTTTATTGATAGGGAATATTTTTCCTTAGTTCCTTCTCTGTCTTCCCAGAAGAAAGAGAAGATGTGAAGATGACTACCTTCTCATGTGGCAATTATAGGCAGCACATTTTTCCTCCGCAGTTTTTCATGCTTGGAAATGCCAGGAGGAGTGCCTTAGTTGCATTCCTGCCAATAGAAAATTTCCATCTGGTCCTTCAGTCTGATTCTTGTTTCCCATCCCAGTCTAGAACAGAGGTGGGATTTACCAACCCAGTAAGATTTCCAGAAGGGACCTTTATGCTTATTTAGAAACCATTCTACTCTGCCATGGGATTGCTCTCCTTCATTATTGTACAATGTGATCCCGTATTTTGTGGGGCTATATTCCAATACCTCCTGTGGATATCTGGAACCATAGGTAATAATGAACCCTAGATTTTGACTCTGTTGAGCTGGAAGCATACCATAGAATCATACTGGATGACCAAAGAGTCCAGAAACACTTCCATGTTATTTTTTGAAGCATGGGTTTGTGAAACCATAGATAGGGAATCTATAGATGAGGAGGTTATACTGTAAATATAATATAAATACAGTATGGCCCCAGTACCCTCAGTTCCATCTGTCTGCACTCAATACAAAATATTCTCGCTAGAAATTTTCCAGATTCTCCAACATTACTCTGTGGTAGATTCCAGTGAAAGACATTCATTTTAGTGGGGTTCCTTGTTATCCTTGTTTTCTATTTCTATAGTAATAATAGTAATAATCTTAATTTATATCCTGCCCTATTTTCCCGAGGGGACTCAGGGCAGTTCAGGAAAGTTTCCTCTGGAGATACTGTACACATAACATTTGTCATTCAAATTTATAAACAAAATTAAAAAAAAAACATTTCTTACACAAAAAAATATATTTCCCTTGTTTTTCCATACAAAAAAAAATAATATCCACTCGTGAAAAAATATATAATAAATGCTAATTGTGCACATATAACTAAACAAAAACCTTTAATTCTGCTCAGAATCAAGTTTTAGTGAGAAGGCTACTTTTGGCTTTAATAAGAATTGGACACTGGAGAGGTCTTTGACATGGAAGTGTAATATATATTTATGATGACCAGCACCAATGACATGGAAGCATATATGTCATCCTTGACATACAGTTAGTTTTGATTTTTTTTGTTTAAATAGCAGTTCTTGGTGAAATCTCTGTTAACCCCCAAAGGGATGTAGTAGCAGATGGAATCAAAGCTATCACATAATTTAACTTTATTGTTTTCCCTGCATTGTTTGCTAAGTAACAAGAACCAAGAAGGAAAATTCTCTTTTTTTGTATCTGATTCTCAGACTCTAACATGCCTATTTATGAGACCTTGGATTCCACAGTTCATTGGTTAAGAACTTCTGATTTAGAAGATATGTGTCCTTGGTTCCATTTCCAAGAGTCCAAAGCCAGCTTACAACAAATAGCATATTTATTTTCGGTTTAATAAAAATTATATTGCAATATAACACAAAAGAACTTACTGTTAAAAAATGAGGCAACACTGAATACCACTTGTATCAGTGGAATAAAAAGTTAACAGTCCAGAAGCCTGATGAAATAACAATATCCTGATTGTTCTGTGTAAAACTGAGAAAATGAGCTGGCTGAGCTTTCAGAGAATGGCATCCCACAGCTTTTGTGCCAGTACTAGAAAGGCCCTGCCCTATGTTCCAGCTGTCAGAGTGTCTAAAGGCAAAAGGACACAGAATAAATGCTTTAATGATTCTGGAAGGGCAGCCTTGAAGGAGAGGATGTTCCTTCAAGCAGCCTGACAACAAATTGTTTAGGACTTTGGAAGAGTCACCAACACATCACATTATAACCACAAACACATGAAAATCTAGTGAGGATTGCATTTGTGGAGTAACATGCTCCACAAAGTCAATTCCAGACAACATAATTGCCACACTTTTGTCTAAAAGTGGAGGTGTCCAAACACTTTTAAAGGGCAACCCACCTAGTGCTTGTAACAATGTTCCAGTCCATGCATGATCAAGTCATGTGTGCGTGGCCATGCATGACTTTTTCTTGGAAAGAGCACATACAACGAGAAACTGTGCAAAGGCACTCCTGGGCATACTAATAACCTGACCACCCAGGAACAAAGTCTCAGGACCCCTCCCCACTTCTCCCCTTGTTTTCAATAATATTAAACAGGACTCATAGTCTCTGATAAACGTTCCTACTGATTGGCATTTTTTTCTTGTCTGGATTACATTTCAGTTGATTCACTCACCTCCCATCTGTAACTGTTCTCAGGCAGTGATCTTGGTTCCCTTTCCTTTGAAAAAATGTTACTCTCCTTACTTGGAAATGAGATGAGAGGCAAACCATGCATGGAATATTTTTTGTTAACTTTTGTGAATGCTCAGATGTTTTCTACATTACTGCTTCCGGTGCTGAAAGCTTAAACAGAATTCTATAACAATAGCTGCTCTGCTGCTGTGGAAAGTCAACAGCCACCTTACATGATGGCAGGGTTAGCAATCCCCTTAGGCATTGCACATACTGCCACTTCTGTACATGGCATAGTGCATAGACTGTAGGAGTTGGAAGGGCATCAGAGAAGATCCAGCCCTCGGTTTTTAGCCTGATGAGACCCGCCCTTCTGAAAGCTCATCAAGTCCAAGTGCTGAAGAATACTGGTCTTTCTTAAGAATCCACATCAGCTCAAAACACCGTGTGCTCTTTATTTTCAATCCAGACTGGGTCACCTTAGGCTTGCAGCTGCTTTTCCACATGCTAGTCAGTGTCTCTGTTTTTTTGCCTCCCCCAGCCAGTTGCAGACATGACTTAACCCCCGCCAGACAGCTGATGCCCTGGTCTCCTGATCCAACACAACCTTGAAGCAATAAGTCATTTCTTAGTTTCTGACATTCTATTCCTCCAAAAAGCTCTTTGTCATGCACTGCATGTGTTTGTTTTTGTTTGCCTTGTAAAAGGTACCATGTGTCTAGACAGACAGAAGTGGGGAGCAAGTTATGGCAGTGGGCCCTGCGTCTTTTGTTAGTATACTAACCAGAATTCTTTGTTCACTTATCTCTTCCCACGTACTTGTTTTTTCCTCCTCCCTGTGCAAAATACCTTGTATTTGCTGATTGGTGTACCACTAGCATCCTATATCAGCTTTTATCCAGTGTGCCTTTTAATTGACATGGGTGGCCAGGTCTCTGTAGTGAACCTTTTGGAGGCCCTGGGGAGTGACAAGTTCAGAGCCTCCTGATACTTCTTAGCAGTGGGTGAAGTGCCACTCTTGAGCAGAAATGACCAAAAGAACTGTCGGTTTACACCATGTTAATTCTAATTGCAGTTGACATGACGGCTGCAGAGAGCTCCTAGCAGGGCAGGAGTGATGTTTTTTGGGAGAAGCTGAATTACTCCTTTGTCTCTGCCCCAGGTCAGGGATGTTGGAAGCTGGAGTGGACAGAATTATTTCTCAGGTGGTGGATCCAAAACTAAACCACATCTTCAGGCCACAGATAGAGAAGGCAATTCATGATTTCCTGGCTGCACAGAAGAAAAAGGAATTGGTGCCAGTTCCTCCGCCACCGCCGCCTCCTCCTCCTGAGCCTGAGAGTCAGGAGCCGTCCCCTCCATCACAAGATGCCTCGTAAGGTCTGGTATTGCTCACCTTCTCCTTTTGCTCACGCTTGTTTCCCTTTTGCACTGTCATTCATGCAAGGAATGTACTTCACACTGGCCAACAAGCCAGAACAGTCAGGGGAAAGAACAAACTGTGATCTTGGAGGCCTACTGTAGTGGTGAGTAAGTTTGCCATTAGAATCCTAGCTGCTTTCTTAGCAGCAATTATATTTTTATTAAGGTAATATGCCTTTTTGACTACTGAGTCCCTGCTGAGATGCAGGAAGAGCAAAGGGCATCTGATGGAAACTAGCCCAGGAGATGTATGACTAGAAGCTGGCTTCTGTGGGAGGCCATTAATTCTGCAGAGAGTGGGCAAACTGTTGTTAGACATTGTAGAGAACTAAGCGAATACATTTGCAGAGATCTGCAAATGTATACTGAGAACTGATGTGGTATAGTGGGGTGAGTATTGGACCCTGGAAGAAAGGATTCAAATCTTCACTTAACTACTGAATCTGTGGGTAAGTCACACAGACTCAGAAAAAGGCAATAGCTAAGCCTGACTGGAGTTTTGTTTTTTTGTCAAGAAAACCCTTTGCAAGGTTCACCTTAAGGTTGTGAAGGCACACAAGATATACACAAGCACACACCTGGTTGATCAACTGAAAAGTTGTATCATTAATGAGAGGTGCCAGTGGCTTTCTTTATTCTGAAATCCCACACTTCTGACTGCCCTACTGTCTCATGGCAACCATGTAGGATGTTGTTGTTTATCCTACTTGAGGTACCTCAGGAATGGGGAAACTTTGGCATATTCAAAGCCCCTTCCTTCCCTAAGAAAGAGGAGGATAAATCATATTTTACAACCCAGTATGACCAACTTTTGAAGCATTTACTGAACATACTTTGTCCTGTTCTTCCTTCCCTGTGATTGGGGAGGAGGAATGCAGGGTTTCCATGCAAAGTGCCGGTTTAGCACACAATGATGTTAGGGTCAGTAGCCCAACTTCTTCAAGAAGTGCTGTATTTTGCAGCCATTTCTCCTTTGTATTAAACTCTGTTAAATCATATCTTGTCGACATTATGTATTATGGTAGTGCATGTATATCTGTGGGTGTTCATATCCCACAAGAAGCTCTGCATGATCAAGGAAAAGAACCGTTAGTTTTCTGCCACCTGTCATAGAAACGCACCAACAGGTGCCCCTTGGCCTTTTACACCTAACTAGCTTTCCTGTTACTAATTACCAGAGTTAGCATTAGCTTTGGCTGATGGGCCAGCTCTTCCCCTTCCTGAAATTAGATCTAAAGATGATAGTGCACTTATGAGCTGGTAACCTCAAGGCTGGGCTTCTCCAATGCAGTGTATACTGGGCAACCTCTGTACCATGTTCAGACACTCCTGTTAGTTCAAAATATGACAGCCAGGTTGGTTACACATGCATCTAGGAATGAACATTTTACACCTATACTAAAATCATTCCAGTAGCTGCCAATTATATTCCAACCGAAGTAAAAAAGTGTTGGCTATAGCAGGATCACCTTCTCCCATACAGTCTGCCCCAGAAACTTGTGTCTGCTGGGGGTCATTTAGTCCAGCCAGCCAGAACCCAACTGACCGCTTTTACCCAAAGGACCTTTTCATAGGTTGTCCCAAGATTGTGGAATAGAAGAGCTCAGGCAGCTAAATCAGCCGTCAGCATTCAAGACAGAATTGAAGACCTATCTATTTTGGCAATCAATTTTAAACTCTGAATTTTAAATGTACAATTTATTAATATGCATTATTTTAATGGGTTTTAATATTTCTTTGTCTTTTAATACATGTATTTTGATGGTCTTAGGTTATGTGTGTATTTTAATTATGTTGTACCCTGCCTCAAGCCATAAGGTGAGGCAGTTAAATTATTATTATTATTATTATTATTATTATTATTATTATTATTATTATTTTACTGACACAAAAGCACAGTATGTCACAGCAAACAAGATCTATATGCTGGATTTCATATCAAAAAATCACAAGTCGAACACTTCCCAAGTGTCTAGGACTGTGTGATGTTTTTTGAATGATGTGCGCAGATCCAAGTAAGGTGGCCTTTTGCAGTTGACAGATCGTGATTTTGTCGATGTTTATTTATTATTATTATTATTATTATTATTATTATTATTATTATTCTGACACAAAAACACAGTATGTCACAGCAAATGAGATCTGTATACTGGATTTCGTATCACAAAATCACAAGTCAAACAAGCGTCTAGGACTGTGTGATGTATTTTCAAATGATGCGTGCAGATCCTTTTGCAGTTGACAGATCGTGATTTTGTCAATGTTTATTGTTTCCAAATGTCGGCTGTGATTTTTTGGCACAGCACCCATTGTGCCAATGACCACTGGGACCACCTGTACTGGTTTATGCCAGAGCCTTTGCAGTTCAATTTTGAGGTCCTGATAACGGCTGAGTTTTTCTTGTTGTTTTTCCTCAATGCGACTGTCACCTGGTATGGCAACATCAATAATCCAAACTTTTTTCTTTTCCACAATTGTGATGTCTGGCGTATTGTGTTCTAAAACTTTGTCAGTCTGGATTCGAAAGTCCCACAGTATTTTTGCATGTTCATTTTTTACTAGCTTTACAAGTTTATGATCCCACCAGTTCTTTACTACTGGCAGGTGGTACTTGTGACATAAGTTGTCCTCCTTTTGCAGGGATGCAAAATTGTGTAAGTGTAGTGAGCTTTCTCTCTGTAATGCAATGTGCCTCTGAAGTCCACCATGAGGCTCTTAAGTAATTCTTATCGAAGACGCTCCTTAGCAATGCAATGTGTATTAGAGGTACCCTGAAGCAGCAACTGCTGATGCTGTTGAGTGTCTCTTGGGCTCAGAACGGTACTGGAAATGAGGCTTTGCCTCAAATGATAGGCCCAAACCTTGGAGAGTTATCCAGGAGAGCTGCATTCTGTAAAGCAGTGTGGTGTCTATTGCTCAAGCTGCTTTGCTATCACTCCACAGTGAGATATAGGACCAGGCTGTGAATAGCAAGGTTTAAGTTAAACCCAGAGCTCTTGTTCTTTATGCCACTTTGTTTTTTGAGGGTTTTTTTTAAAACTGACGGGTTACTTTCCTTTACTATATGGGTTCTCCATGAATGAAAATCACAAAGCTCATCAGTTTTACAAACTGAGTTAAGTAATAATTATATACACAGTTGTGTTTAAAATACATTAAAGTCTTTTTTCCCTTCTTTTTTCTTTTGCAGTGCATTTCTAGCTTTAAGGATGCTACAGTTACAAAACACAGGCTGAAGATGGCAGTGGGCTGAATATCTGCAAGAGTGCAGTTTGTCAGCTAATATCGACTACAATTGAGTGTTCGCAGAAATCACAAATGGTTTTTGTGTGGTGTGGAGGAATAGGCTAAATGTGAAACTGTATTGATATGAGCAAAGGTAGCAAATGTTTTGCTGATTGCATATTTCTGAGTGAATTGATCCTTTGGGGGGAACCACTATGGGAAAAATGGGATCTGGTGTGATATTAGTGAAAGTGGTGGTATTTGGGATGTAGCAAATAGGGGGGAAGGGCTTTCTGGGCATGCTTGGTTTCCTGAGGGGCCACTGTGCACTAGAAAGCCTTCTAGAGAGAGATCTGGAAAAAAGAAGCATTCAGCACGCAAGCATGAAGCCGGTCATTTACCAGCAAGAGATGACTGAATACTACATGCTTTTTCAGTCATAGCTCCCTTGCAGTGCCTGGCCATGTGTGATACAGCTGCAAAGGACTGTTCACCATTGGATTTCCAGGTGTATCCAGAAATGGATTTTGGCGGGGAATTGTGTTCCTGACACACCTCTGCAACTTAGCTCACTTTCCAAACTGATCAAGGAGGTGGGTGTAAGCTAGTCTTCTTCTGTGAGCCTTGGAATGGAAGATGACATATGTTTCTTTATATATTTTTGTCTGTAAGATTCTTCAGGTGCCTGTTAGAAGCTTCTTGGAGAGGCATATAAGCTCTCAAGTAGGCATTTGTGCTCAACTATTCGGCTAGCAAGTATCCAGATTCTTTTTTAAAAAAATAAACTATTAGAAAAGTATTTGATGTGTGAGACTTTTTTTATTTAGTTGTTTTTTTTTTCATCTTTACCTATAGTGATATCCACTGACATGGTTTCTGGATTTCATAGACATTTGTCAGGGAGGAAAGCTTCAAAAATAAAAATTTGTCACACCTGAATTTCTAATCCAAACATATTGTTCCTAAAAACAGCCTTCACTCTAGGATACAGTGGAGCACACTTAGTTTGACTCTATATAAAAAATAGAACATGAGTGTTTTCATGAGAAGTTAAATAGAAGATTTCTTTTCAGGGAAAAATGAAGCTATTAAATGTGCCCAGAACGCAGTTGGCCTTTACAGGGGTGTTTCAGATTTAGTGCCAAACTTTTAGTTGATAGTACATGAAAGATCCAGGAATGAGGATTTAGTGTACTCCCGCCATGGTTTGTTCCAAATCATGACACACTATTGCATCCAAACTGGAAAACCATGACATACTTGTCAGCTAGTCCTGCTGAAGAAGATCCATTGAGTTAAAATCTCTTTGATATTTTGACACCAGTCTTTATAAATGCATTATTACTGGCATATTATTCTGTTGGATGGATAAGTTTATTATTAGTGTTGATCTCAGTTCTGCATTTTTAAAAATTAGTTAACAGAGGTAACAGCTATCTCCTTAATTTGTTTATAATTTTGGGAGTAGTGGTTGTTAAAATGATCCTTTTTCACATCCTTTTGAGCTTTTCCAGTAAACCAGCCTGCATCCTGGCTTGTTGGCTGAGGTGCACCAATAACACTATGTCACAGAACTTGAAAAATATTCTGTTCCTAGTTTGAAAGTGTTGTTTCCTGTTTAATTGTGTGGTACTTGCTTTGAAAATAGTTGTTGAATTGGTTGAGGTTCTGCGAGATACTCATTCAAGTACCATAGTAAATGTGCTGCAGGATGTCCCGCAAAAACAAGTTTTTGCAGTTTAATAAACTTTTTCTTGTTTTTATGATAGAACTAATTAGGAAATGACATTTATAACCCAGGAACAAAAATAATGTTACATAGTGTAATTACTTGAGGGGCAAAGAAGCATGAAAGTTATTCTTGTATTGCAAGACCATGTTGTCACTTCTGAATTGTGACTAAGATGAGTGCCGACCACCTCCAATCTGGCACTATTGAAGTGTATTGGATTATGATTAACTGTTCACCCGGTGGCGCAATGGGTTAAAGCACTGAGCTGCTGAGCTTGTTGATCGAAAGGTCGCAGGTTCGATTCCGGGGAGCGGCGTGAGCTTCTGCTGTCAGCCCTAGCTTCTGCCAACCTAGCAGTTCGAAAACATGCAAATGTAAGTAGATCAATAGGTACCGCTCTGGCGGGAAGGTAACGGAGCTCCATGCAGTCATGCCGGCCATATGACCTTGGAGGTGTCTACGGACAACGCTGGCTCTTCGGCTTAGAAATGGAGATGAGCACCACACCCCAGAGTCAGACATGACTGGACTTAATGTCAGGGGACTACCTTTACCTAGTACATTAAATGGAGATGATTAGAGTTATATTCCAATACATGTAGAGGACTCTGGATGACTCAAAAACCCTCAGATTTTTCCCATAATGTTATTTTACATATGTAGTATGGAATTACGTTGCAGATCTGTAGGTTCGATTTAGGAAGAGAAATGCATAACTCTATTCATTCTAAAGTACAGGTGCGTTTTTTTAATAAAACGCTATAACAGAAGTGCAATAGAACTCAATGCAACATTTTAATTGGTTTTTTTTTTAACTGTCATCCATTTTAATCCATCTGGTTCTGTTCTGCCAGATTTAAATCTGTTTAGGCAAACTATGAAATTATACTTGATGAAGTCTGCCTCTACTGTAAAGCTCAGCTGTGTGAATACACTCCGTATGCTCTTGACTAACTTGGCAGGTAGTAAAGCTCCCCAATAACTTGCCAAACCCTCGTACATATGGAATGTGGCCTCAATTCCTGGATATAATCCTCAAACTCTTTCTCTTCTTTCCAAATCTGTTTTTCTTCTGCTTGCCTTTTTATCTCATTTTTAGCTCTTGCTCCTAGATAGCTCTGCCATTTACCTTTGGCAGTCCTTTGGAGACTGATAATACTTGCTGACAGAAGTTCCATCCAATATACCAATCCTGTGACATGTTTGGCTTTGTGGATATCTCTTTTGTTGGAGTGATTGGGGGAAGGTTTTGAAGGGGCCCCTCGGATGTTGGCCTCTCATTCCAAGCAGCCCTGACCATCATAGCCAATGAGCAAGAGGGCAGGTGGCAGCTCAGCACCATCTGGAGGGCTGTTCTGTGCCTATATCTAACTAAGGAGATGGTTTTAGTTACCGGGATCATTATCTCAATACACATCTGTTGACATCTTGGTTCCATATTTTGACTTTCTCACTTTCTCAAGTCCACCTCAACCTATGCAGAAGACAGTGCTCTTAAATGGCTTTAGAAAATTGCTATATAAGTCAAACAACTCCCCATATTCCTCTAGAGTGTCAACACCAAGAATTTTCCTCCAGAAAATTCTAGTATTCGGTTTTCTAAAGCCTATACCATCATGACCACTGGGCAAAATATAACTTCTATCTTCCTCTCCTACTGGATGAGCACAGTGCAATTACCCAGATGTTGAACAGCAACCCCACAGCGTTCTTACCACTGCCTTTTCTATCTGGGACTGCTGGGTTTTGCAATCAAGGAACATCTGGATTTCAATTGTTCCAACAATTCCAGTTGTTAACTGCTCTCATATCAATGTATGGCAACTATCAATGACAGATCTCCAGATCACCCTGTTAACAATAGCCTGCTCAAGTCTTGCAAACTCATAATTTCCATTCCTGGACTTAAGGTTTGTAACACTACATAGCGTCTCTCTAAGGAAACATACAACATTACCAGTATTGGATGAGAAATAACCAAAGGAATTCCATTTCATGCTACCCACCTTAAGCACACCTAACTAAAAATCAGGTTTATTTAATTTTTTGCCATAATAAATTGTGGCAAGTTCTTAGTGGGATGGGCATACCAAGCCACCTTGTCTCTCTCCTGAGGAATCTGTACAAGGACCAAGTAGCAACAGTCAGAACTGACCACGGAACAACAGACTGGTTCAAGATTGGGAAAGGCGTACGGCAAGGCTGCATTTACTTTTTAACTTGTATGCAGAACACATCATGCGATGTGCGGGGCTTGATGAATGCAAAGCTGGGGTGAAAATTGCTGGAAGAAACATTAACAACCTCAGATATGCAGATGACACCACTCTGATGGCCGAAAGCGAGGAGGAGCTGAGGAGCCTTCTAATCAAGGTGACAGAAGAAAGCGCAAAAGCCGGGTTGCAGCTAAACGTCAAAAAAACCAAGATTATGGCAACAAGAATGATTGACAACTGGAAAATAGAGGGAGAAAACGTGGAGGCCGTGACAGACTTTGTATTTCTAGGTGCAAAGATTACTGCAGATGCAGACTGTGGCCAGGAAATCAGAAGACGCTTACTTCTTGGGAGGAGAGCAATGTCCAGTCTCGATAAAATAGTCAAGAGTAGAGACATCAGACTGGCAACAAAGATCCGCATAGTCAAAGCCATGGTATTCCCTGTAGTCACCTACGGATGTGAGAGCTGGACCTTAGGGAAGGCTGAGCGAAGGAAGATCGATGCTTTTGAGCTGTGGTGTTGGAGGAAAGTTCTGAGAGTGCCTTGGACTGTGAGAAGATCCAACCAGTCCATCCTCCAGGAAATAAAGCCCGACTGCTCACTGGAGGGAAAGGATACTAGAGACAAAGTTGAAGTACTTTGGCCACATCATGAGGAGACAGCAAAGCCTAGAGAAGACAATTATGCTGGGGAAAGTGGAAGGCAAATGGAAGAGGGGCCGACCAAGGGCAAGATGGATGGATGGCATCCTTGAAGTGACTGGACTGACCTTGAAGGAGCTGGGGGTGGTGACGGCCGACAGGGAGCTCTGGCCTGGGATGGTCCATGAGGTCACGAAAAGTCGGAGACGACTGAACGAATGAACAACAACAACAACAATTTAATTTTTGTTCTACAGTGTGAATTGAGAATAGCTGAATGGGTGAATGAGCTAATATTTATGTGCTTCTTGCTTACTATTATTTAGTACTCCCCAATAATGTTCTTCAGTTCACAACATGGAGCAAAAATTCGAAAACTAGAAAGCCAATATTTATGTACTCAGGAGATTCAGCATGGTATAGTCATTTGAGTGTTGGATTGAAGTCTGAGATAACATGATTTGAATATCCACTCCACAATGTAAACCCACTAGGCGACCTTGGGCAATCTCAGCCTTAGTGGAAAGCCATGTCAAACTTCTAGGATGGGGTCCCTATAAGTTGAAGTTAATTTGAAGATGTAACAACAAATTGACATATTCCAACGTGTATCTGCAGATTCACAGATTTTGATCAGCTTCGCAAATGAACATTTCTGCAAGTATGCCATGATAGTGTTTGAAATGAAGTTTAAAGGTGGGTGATACACATACATCCTTAAACACTTGTGTACACTGTTTTTTTAGGGGGGGGGATCCTGGCTGCATACTCTTTTTTAGGGGGGGGATCCTGGCCCCTCCAGCCGAGGTTTTTCAGAGCTATTTTGCAGACAAGATCTCGCTACTTCGCCGGGACCTCCCTGCCACAATTGATACAGTGAGAGAACTTGAGACCCCGTGGCCACTTGCTGGGCCCATCCTCGACCGTTCATCCCGCTGGATGCAGGGGCTGTCGATAGGCTCATAGCTGCAGCTAGACCGACCACTTGCTCCCTCAATCCGTGTCCCTCTTGGTTGGTGAAATCCTGCTTGAAGGGATTACGTGACCCTCTGTTGAAGATCATAAACAGCTCCCTTGAGCAAGGAGTCTTTCCAGAGGGTTTAAAAGAGGCGGTGGTCTCTCCTTTGCTGAAGAAACCAGATTTAGACCCTCGGTTCCCTCCAGTTACCGCCCAGTTTCAAATCTCTCGTTCCTGGGCAAGGTGATT